ATCTGGCTTCTCATCGCTTCTCTGCTATTTGGCTAAGATCAGGAGATATTTGGCTTCTCAGTATCAGAACCCTGCTCTCACTGGGGAATCGGTCCTTGTGTGAATCTTAGTTGAAATCTCCCCACTAGTATGACCAGACACTAGCTCCCAGACTCCTGGAATCCACAGCCCAACCACACCACCCCATTTCAGCTAATCAGATGCTCTGCGTAGGTCTTGGCTTCCAAAACAAATGTTATGAAGAAACCAGGGCCATATGGAGTTCACAAAAGCAAGACAAAGACTGTGTCTCCCAGCCACCAGCTGTGGAGGTGCATGTGATATTCCGCTGCCAGTGTGACAGAATTGGACTATCCCAAGACCATGTATGATTCTAGCCATTGGTAGAAAGGTTAAATAAGGCCTACACTTACAAGGAAAACATTAAGAGGAAAAATACTCTTTGGGAAGCATTCAGAATGAGTCCTAGTGACTAGTGACCATCACTGCTCAAAATCAAGAAGAAAAGGACAAAGGTTTCATTGCAGCAAGTTAGACAGTCTTGTTCCTCAAGATGCTGAACAGACAGTTCATCACTGGCACCATCTTGGTGAAGGAGACTGTGTAATTTACACTAACCCATAGCTCCTGGAAATGAATGTTCCTAATCCAAAATTCCATAAATCCAGATTTATGGAATCTGGCTGAAGATTTGGACCACTGGGTTAATGAAAAATGATGAAAGGAATGAAAATAAAATATGAAAAATGATAACACAGCATAGTACAATGCTGGTTCTCATGAATACGCATCCACATGCTTCTGACATAGGTACTGATTCAGACATCCTGGAGCACCCCCTATGTTTACAAGTTAAGGCTCATGCAATTGTGATCACAAAAGAGGATTTGGTACCCTGTTCCCTGAGGGACCACAGCATCAGCAAATTCTATAACTTATGAACCATCTACAGAAATGAAACTTATGAAATAGACATGCAGGGTCATGGCCTCATAGTGATCCAAGGCCAGTGGGATAAATGTGGAGTAATCACTAACGACAAAGAAGCCAAATAAAAAGGCTGAGTGTTTGATGTCACAAGGTGATGATGTTCTTTTCTGTCACAAAGCTTATCGTCATTTGGGGAGAAACGACAGAGGAATAGAAGAAACCTATGAAGGAAAAGCTAAAGATATAAAGGTACACGGAGGTGTGGCAGTGGTCACCCAGTTAGGGTGACCAAAACACAGAGTAGAGAGAGGGTTGAAGCTCTAACTCACCTGTCAACTTAGCAAAAATATATCTGAGAAAAGAATGACTAAACAACACATGGATCAAGGAAGAGGAAATCACAGGGAAAACTGAAAAATATTTTGAACAGAAAAATAGGAAAGACACAATAGGAATCTCTCCTGAGAAAATAAGCAGAAATCTAGATAATTTTTTTTGTTGTTTTTTGTTTGTTTGTTTGTTTGTTTTTTTAGATGGAGTTTAGCTCTGTCACCCAGGCTGGAGTGCAGTGGTGTGATCTTGGCTCACTGCAAGCTCCACCTCCTGGGTTCACACCATTCTCCTGCCTCAGCCTCCCGAGTAGCTGGGACTACAGGTGTTTGCCACCATGCCCGGCTAAGTTTTTGTAGTTTTAGTAGAGACAGGTTTCACTGTGTTAGCCAGGAGGGTCTCGATCTCCTGACCTCGTGATCTGCCCGCCTCAGCCTCCCAAAGTGCTGGGATTACAGGCGTTAGCCACCGCACCTGGCCCTAGATAAAAATTTTGACACATTCTTTCAGTAGGAGATTGCTTACTTTTTAAAAAAATTTTAACACAGAAGTTATTGTTATGGTATTATTTACACCAATTAAATGTTGGGGAGACTGACACAATGTTAATGTTTAGCAACAGGAAAAAGCTGAAATAAAATAAGACATAGCCACATGATTAAGTCCATGGAAAATTATAATTCAAAAAAATTATTGATAAGGATTAAAGATCACATTATAATGATGAGTTAAACAACATTTTGTAACACAGCACATAGAGGATGAGCCTACTGGAAGAGACTTTCATATTCCAGATGATATTCTCCTTTCCTGTTCTGTGAATGGTGGAGTAGACCAGTTAACTATTGTTATATAACAACCAAACACAATCTCATTGGCATCCAACAAGGAATATTTGTTTCTCACATGTCTACAAATTGATTGTGGTGGTTCATCTTGTCTGGGCTCAGCTGGGCCGCACTGCTTGCTCTGCACAGTGAACACTGCTCCTCGTGTGTTCATGTGGAGAATTAGTTGGGAGAGGCAGCAGTTACCCAGGAGGGACACTTCTCAAGGCAATGGCAGAAGCAAAAGAGGGCAAATACCATGCGAAGATATTCCAAGCTCCTGCCAACATCACATCTACTAATATCCTATTAGTCAAAATAGGTCACCTGGCCAAGCCAACAGTCATGGGCAAGGAAATATACCCTACCTCTATGAGACCATGGCAAGGGAATGGAGCTGTAATACTACTAGATGAATGATGAATTTTGACCAGTAACGCAAACTACCACATTGAGATAGTTAATCATTTTCTTCATACATATTTCACATTCCCGATTTTCAACAATAATATGTGAGTTGCTCCAAGAATCAGAAAAAGAAAAACCATGTGCCTCATTAGTTAAAATAGATAAGCACGTAGAGAAATTTGTGATGGATTAAAAATACTTACCATCCTGATATTCTTAACTATCAGAGGCTCTGACCTCACCACAACATCAACCAAATAGTGATGGGGGTGGTGCAGCCACAAGGTGAGGACAGAAGATCAGGGAACCAAAATGTTACCCTGTGGCTGCAGGGTTGGGGCTCACAGTGATGCATCCAGGGTCAAGGGTGCAGGGTCAAGGGTGCCTCTGGTCTTTCTCTCCTTCCTCAGCCACATCCCTTCCCAGATCTCTTCTGTGATTGGCTCCTCTTCTTTTTACCCCTGCATTGTTCTCTTATCCCATCCTCTTCTAAGTTGTTTCCATTGGAAAATGCCTTTTTATACAACTTTAAAACAAGATAGGTGGATGAATAGATAGGCAGACAGATAGATTAGATAAATTAGATAGATAGATATGTACACACATACATAGATACATGCATAGATAGAAAGATACATAGATAGCTAGATATGCTTGAATATGAGAAGACTCACAAGAAATCAGCAACAACTGTTGTTTTTAGGAAGGAGATTTTAGGAATGGAATGACAAAATAAGAGAAAGACATATTTTCTCCTCTTATTTATATTGTTTATTGCTGTACCATATTCAAATATTACTTAGTCAAAATACCTGACTTTTTAAATGATATTTAGAGTTCATTTTTTTCAAGACTAAGCAGAGTTCCAGAAAGATGAAGTGACTTGTCTCAGCTCATGGAAAAACTCAAGGAAGTGCTGATAATTACATAAAAGAATTATTGCAGGGTGATAACTAAAATGTAGTAAGTGCCTTGCATTTAATTCTTCAAAGACCCCGCGAAGTCAGAAACATTATCTCACTTTCAAAAATAAAAAAATTAATATTTAGAGACCTTAAGTAATTTGCCCAAAGTCACACAATTACTAAGCAACTGAGCCAGGATACAAAACCAACTCCATCATGTGCCTCACGAATTGCTGTTTTCATCTGCTCCCTACCTCAAATAGCCTATTCACCTCACCCACCAGACGCCCACCCACAAGTCTCCTGAACTCACTTCTCTTTCCTATTCCATGCTGACTAAAGACAAATCTTTCCCACCACACACACACACACACACACACACACACACTCAGTCTTATGACTTCAAGCCCTTCATGTCATACCAAAGAACAAAACTACACCCTCATCTAAACTTCTCTTTTTCCCAAAGAAGAGAATATTCCCAAGGAAAAGCTCGGAAATCAAAGTGTCTCCCCAACACTAAACATATTAATCCTAATCCAAAGGAACCTTCCTTTGCTACTAATAAATTATTCAGATCAAAGTGTATTGATCTGATGTGTTATATAGCTGTCATTAAATGTTGTGGGTTTACAACCCAGTCTTGGATGAATTATCTTTTACCACATATGCTTGTATGAGTGCTGTCTGCAGTACCTTAAAATTCAATGGAAATTGCCTCTTCTGATAATCAGCTACTTAGTGGTGTTTTAATAGCTACCTAGATTCTCAACATTGTTTACTGCACCTCTAAAACTTGCAGACCCTTGGTTGATTATCCTAAGCCACAGATTTCTCTATTACAGCTCAAACACCCAAACTAACCCTTGAAAAAGCTCTACATTCTGATTCTTTAAATCTTCAAATGAATGTACGACTTTCTTCTCAGCATCTTTATAACCCTTAATCCTACAGAAGTCCTAATTCCCTAGACTGGGTTCCTAGGGTTCCACACAACCTCAATCTTAACTCAAGGTCACTCACGTACTACAAACTTAACACAATTCTCTTCTCATTTGGCCAAGACCAACTCAAGAAAATGTTCCATCTATCCTCTTGAAAAAAAAATGAAATATTTAAAAATTATTTATTGACAGGTCACATTAAATTACTATGAATAGAATTAGGTTTTAATGTGTTAAGTTTTCATACTTTTAAAAGGAAATTTGCAAGGGCATCAATGAAGCATGAAAAAATGACATAAAAAAAAAGCAGCTTGGAATTCAAGGACCTGGATACCAATCCCAGTTGTGCCACCAAGTAGTTGTGTGTCCTTGAGCAACATATATATTTCTGAGTCTCCAACATGTGTTAATTGAGGAGGCTAGATTAAAAAATGTGTTAAGGCCAATTCACAATTAAATGACCTATGATTATAGAAAAATTGGCATAAAATGAAGAAATCTTGGAATAACTGAGGTGGAGCAGTGGAGCAGACAGGGAGAATATGTCTGCATTTAACATTCATCCAAATGTAAAGATTTAAAATTCTCTTTCTGTACAAGACAGGAAAAAAAAATGGAACTTGAATCTCACTGAAAACACATGCTAATAAGCAAAGCATTGTATTTCCTTCCTCCAATACTACTCCTTTAAGAAAAGATTTTTCTGCCCAAAGTTCTCCTCAAGGCAACTTTGACATCCTTGTTCCTCAAGCTATAGATTAATGGGTTTAACATGGGGACTATGATGGTATAGAACAGGGAGGACACTTTTCCTTGCTCAAGGGGCAGGATGGAAGGGGGTTTCAGATACATGAAAGCACCAGAACCAAAAAAAAGCAAAACTACAATTATGTGGGAACTGCAAGTACTAAAAGCTTTGGACCTGCCTTCTGTAGAACTGATGTGAAGAATGCTGGAGAGGATGAGGGCATAAGAAATAAAGACACTGACAATGGGCAATCCAATGTCAACAGCCACAAGAATAAAGAGCACCAGCTCATTCATGTAAGAGCTGTTGCAGGAGAGCTGAAGGAGAGGAAGGATGTCACACATGAAATGATTGACAAGGTTGTCAGCACAAAAGGTCAGGTTCATTATGCTTCCTGTGTGGGCCATGGCCCCAGCAAACCCCATCCCATAGGCACCCAACAAAAGGAATAAACACACCTGGGGAGACATGGTGGTCGTGTACAACAGTGGGTTACAGATGGCCACATAGCGGTCATATGCCATCGCTGACAGGATGAAGGACTCAGAGATGACAAAGAAGCAGAAGAAAAAGAGCTGAGTCATACACCCTGTGAAGGAAATGATGTTCTTCCTTGAGACAAAATTTATCAGCATTTTGGGAGTGATGGTAGTGGAGAAACAAAAATCTATTAAAGAGAGGTTAAAGAGGAAGAAGTACATGGGAGTGTGCAGGTGAGAGTTTAGCCCAATCAGGGTTATCAAGCCCAGGTTCCCCACCACGGTAACCGTGTAGAAACCCAGAAACAGGAGGAAGAGGGGGATCTGGAGTCCCAGCTGGTCGGTTAAGCCTTCGAGGATAAACTCTGTCACAGAAGAATTTTTGGCTGCCATTCTTTTTGGTCGGGCAGGAAAGTCTGAGGGGACAAGAGAAGAGGACCACTTAGAAAGAAACATCGCCACCACATTCTTAGTCTCTATCTCCCATTCTTGGAAAAGGAATCCAAGGAGAGAGATTTGAACTTCGGTAGGAAGGTTTTTACCATTCACTAGGGGTCTGTCTTCACAGTCCACGTGATTATAACTCCCAAAGTGTAATATGAGACTAAACTGTAACTGCAGAATGAGAGCTGGTTCTGCTGAAGAAAGGGGTACCAAAAATAAGCTAAATGTCTTTTAGATCCTTAGGTCAGTCCCTTTTCTATACTTTCCCTCTCCTGTCTCTGCTTCACTTGGTAAAACCTGGACCTCTTCCCTGAAGGGAATCCTGAGATGCAGAAGCCACAGTGGCTCTGCTCAGAGCTTCCACCTCTGGGTCCACGCTGTCAGATTAAGTAGGTGAGCTCATGCTTTTCCAAGATCTCTTAGCTCAAGTGGCTGTACATTTAATAATTTTTTAAAGCTGACACTTATTGAGTGGTTACTATAAGAGGTTCTGTTTGAAGAGCCATGTAGCAATATTATTATCTTCATTTTACAGATGAAATCAGTAAGGTGACACAACTAGACAAAAGTCCCTAAACCACCGAGTTGCAGCCAGAAGGTGAATTTCAGCAGTATGGCTCAAATGGTTTGCACTTGAAATCACCATGTTACATAAGTGACCAGCATCAGGGCAGGCACTCACCTTCCTTCCCTTTAGAGCTGTAAATGCTATACTCTACTGCCTCTTTTCCACATTCTGGGGAGGAAGATGACCCTAGTGAAGAGAAGATGACAGATTTGAAAGCTCAAAGCCCTCTCTTCTCAGTACAGGTCAAAGGATCAGAACCTCTAATGTATCTCATAACACTTTCCGCACTGAAGGACATGACTTCCAATTGTTCATTTGCCCAGAGGCCTCTCCAGCTTCCAGGAAGGACACAAAGCTTTTTCCTGACCAGTGAATAACAAAAGACTAAAGAGTTTTATTCTGGATTACAGACTTCAGTGATCTGACTATTAAGATAGAGACTCCCTCAAGACCACTTCCTTAGCGATTACTTTCCCCAGGGAAGAAGAAATATTTGTTTATCTCTTGGAATTGCTTGATTTGGCTTTCTACTAACATGTATCCAGTACTATTAAGAGAAAATCATTGTGGAAAAAAATGATTATCATTACCATTTATTGAATACCCAATAATTTAGTACCTGACATAGTACCCTTGTTCTGGCTGCCAAGATCCAAAGTACGCATATACAAACATATCTTTATTAATTTCTCACAATATCTATTTTACAGGTAAGTTACTCACAGAGACAAGATGTGTCAGAGTCCACAGGTATGCTTAGGTCTGTCTGACTCCAAGCCCCTTACGTGGCTGCTAGACTAAACTACCTCCCAAGGACAGCTACTGAAATCCATAAAGCAGAGCCCTTGCCTTCTTGGATCTGACAGTCTCTCGACAAATAACAAGTAAATATTCAATGAATTAAATTTTTAAAAGGAAGCAGGTAGAGCCTGGAAAGGTTAACACAAGGGGCTATTGTAATTTAGAATAGGATATTCAATAATTTATTCATATTCCACTCATCTCAGGAATTAATTGCACTACTCTACTCCCAGCTCAGACAAGAAAAGACTTCTCTCATTCCCCTCCCCTGTCCTCTCATGGAGTGTATGTTTAATGGTAACAAGAATCCCTATCAGGTAACTGCTCTCAACATCTGCCAAGACCAGCCTTTTTCTAAATTAATAACTAGTCAAAATTCCCTTTGGCTGTCCCTGCCTTCCACCCACTTTTCTTTGAGCACTTCTCCCAACTGACTTTCCATCTGTTCAGTGCCCTCAAACTGAGTCCTAGTAGACCCAGTTCCCACTGCAGGAATACATCCACATTTGTTCTTCCTCTTTGGTTTGCATTTGTCTTTTTCTTTTACTCCATACCTCCAACCTCTGCCTGGATTAAAATTGTCTATCCTATGTCTCTGTCTCTAAGATACTTACTTATTTTCTTTAACATCAAACCCACAAACTCAGAAAATTTTAGACCTGAAAAGACTTGAGAGAGTATCTCATTCAGTGTTTCCCAAACCTAGCTGGTTATCACAATTACCTAGAATATTCATTAAAAGGAAATGCTGGGCTCCAGTCACACGTTTGGAATCAGAATCTCCATAGATGTGGACATGGTGGCTATGTTTTTTAAATCTTCCCAAGCATTTCCAATGCCAGGAACTGATAGATCCACAGAACTATTATTTGCCCTCATCTTACAGACTAAGACCACTAAAAAGTTTTGGGAGGCCGAGACGGGCGGATCACGAGGTCAAGAGATCGAGACCATCCTGGCTAACACGGTGAAACCCCGTCTCTACTAAAAAATACCAAAAAAACCTAGCCGGGCGAGGTGGCAGGCGCCTGTAGTCCCAGCTGCTCTGGAGGCTGAGGCAGGAGAATGGCATAAACCCGGGAGGCGGAGCTTGCAGTGAGCTGAGATCCGGCCACTGCACTCTAGCCTGGGCGACACAGCGAGACTCCGTCTCAAAAAAAAAAAAAAAAAAAAAAAAAAAGTTCAAAGAAGTAAAGGCCTTCCCCCAAGGTCACAGATCTCTTCTAAGTCTCCACATTTCCAATCTCTCCTCATCCATGAACTCACCTGACTTTCATTTTGCCTGGAATGTAAAACACAAATAATGGAAATGTGTTATGACACTTTTTATTTCTGGTATGATTGTATTGCTATTATTGCACTTACCCCTCTGACTACAAAAAAAAAAAAAAAAAAAAAAGACTGGAAAAAGTATATAAAGCAACTATTTGCCATACTTGGAAAGTAGACAACACAGGGATGAAATTCTTGAGAAAAGGCAAGAAAACGAGGTAACTAACACATTCACCCCAACTTTCTCTAAGGCCAGTTTCTAAACCATGCATAGTAAAGTGGTGCCCCAACAAATGGCAGTAGCTTCTACTAGTGGAATGAAAAAGTGTAAGGAGGCTAAGACAGCTAGAATTTGTGGGGCAAGGAATGGAGAACAAGAAGCCAGAAAAAAAAAAAAAAAAAAAAAAAAAGGATCCTCAGGTACCTGCACAAAGGACTCCCTTAAGTTCGTGGCTGAATCCTAAATTTTATATGTGTAGGGCAAGATTCTACTGGCTTAGGAGACAACAGTTGCTGGGGGTCTAAGAACTGAACAGAGATCACAGAGGATCCACAGCGCCTGATAAGAATTAGAATTCTGACTTACTGAAAACGGAGAGACCTTGTTCAGCAAACCAGACATTAAGTGAGATCCCTGAAAAGTCATACACTAAGAGTAAAGACCATGCCTTTGTGCTAAGGGCAAAACTGAATCATAACAAAGGTCTTAGCAAGATCAAAGGAATCTGCTAATAAATTAACTACATCCCAGAACAAAATTTAACACTCTGTAGCAAAGACCAACATAATCCACTGTCTCTAAAACATATCCACAGTGTCCAATATCATAAAGTCAAAAATTACTAGAAACACAAAGAAGCAAGAAAATGTGACCCAAAGTCAAGATGGAAAAATATATTAGAATCAGGTCCACATCCGATCTAGATGTTGAAATTAACAGACAAGTACTTTAAAATAACTTCTATAATTATTTTTAAAAATTTAGATAAAACGACAGAATTGTCTAATATATCCAACAAAGCAATAGAAACAATCAAGATAACCAAACGAAAATTTCAAAACTAAAAATATTGGAGATAAAAATTCACCAGATTAGCTTAATAGCAGATCAGGCACAGTCAAAGGAAAGATCAGTATAAGCAAAGACAAATCAGTAGAAATTATCCATACTAAAATATGGACAGGAAAAAAGTAACTTTAAAGAAGAACATGGTAACTAAAACCTTTAGGGCAATGCTAAATAGTCCAACATATGTATAATTAGAGTTCCAAAATGTGAGTCAACTGAGAATTGGGTAGAAATAATTTTTTAAGAGATAATAGCTGAAATTTTTCCAATTTTAATAAAATATATGAATCTATTTACGCAAAAAGTTCAGGAAGCCACAAACAAGATGAATACATAATATACCACACCTAGGCATATCAGACATAGTCAAACTGTTGAAAACCAATAACAAAAAAAAGCAGCTTAAAAGCAACCATAGATAAAAGATGTATTGCATTCAAATAAGCAAAAATAATAATAACTAACTTGTAATAAAAGAAATAGAAGTCAGAAGACAATGAAATGGCCTTTAAAGTACTAAAAGGAAAAACAATTGTCAACCTAGTATTGGCAAAAATATCCTGGCTAAAATATTCTTCAAAAAAACAAGCAATTTTCAGACAAAAGGTGAAAGAATATGTCACCAATAAGCCGACACTGCAAAAAACCTGAGAAAGGGAGAGGGAAATGGTTCCAGAGGAAAGCTTAGATATTCAGGAAGAAATGTGAAACACTGAAAATAGGAAATATGTGGGTAAATATAGAAGGCTATTTTAAAATTTTCCTTACATTTATATTACTTTGACCATTTAAAGCAATAGAAAACAATTTATGGTAGATTTAAAATATGTGTAGAAATAAGATATATAAAATGTCAATAACACAATAAAACGTAATACAGTAATACAAATAATGCAATAAAAATAACATAGAGAGGTATAATTAAAATTCCAACAATAGACCTAAAACAAAATATTTTTAAAATTTTAAATAACTTAAGAGGAACAAGCTTAAATTAATATTTAAAAAATCAATCAACATTATCCACTACATTAATAGAATAAAACAGTAAAATTATATAATCATCTCAATAGATGCAGAAAGATTATTTGATAAAAAGCAATACTTATTCATGGTAAGAATGCTCCGCAATTGAGGAATAGGAAGGAGTATCCTAAATCTGATCAAAGATGTCTGTGAAAAACCTACAACTAAAAGCCTACATCATACTCAATAGTGAAATACTGATTGTTTTTATTGTGAGGTCAATAACAAGTCTAAAATGTCCACTCTCATAAGTTTTATTCAACATTGTATGGGAAGTCCTAGCCCACTTAACAGGGGAAAATGTTGAGCTTCTCAACAATCTCAAAAAGAACCAGTCGGGCACGGTGGCTCACACCTGCAATCCTAGCACTTTCAGAGGCCGAAGTGGGCAGATCACATGAACCCAGGAGTTTGAGACCAGCCTGGTCAACAGCTACACAGGAGGCTAAGGTGGGAGAACCACCAGAGCCCAGGGAGGGTGAGGCTGAAGTGAGCCATGATCATACCACTGCACTCCAGCCTGGGTGACAGAGTGAGACTCTGTCTCAAAAAAAAAAAAAAAAAGAAGAAGGAGGAGGACAACATAATTTGGTCTCTACCATGTATCAGTCAAAATATTAAGCATATAATAAAAAATAATTATTGACTGCCTCTCCCTCCACCTCCTTGCTGAACACCACACCTGACCTTCCAGCTGCTCAGT